ATTCTTGGAAAACTCCAGGCACACACCTGTCTCACTGGCCTTTGCTTTCTGCTTTTGTTAAAATACTCTTCCCTCAAATAAATTGCATGGCTCACTCTTATCCTCTGTCAACTCTTCACTTGAAAGTTTCTTTCTTTTCAAATATTGTGGAGTTTCCCTACCCAGAGTCTTCCAAAGTCAAGGTTAAGGCACAGCCCTTCAAACTGTCATCTTTCAAGATTTCAAATCTAACTTGCGAGTTCAGAGTCCACATGAATTCCCTCAGATTTGATAATTCACTAGAATGACTCACAGGACTTGGAAAAATTCCATAAATTACAATGAACAGTTTTAATATAGCAAAGGTCTTCCCCGGAGGCTCAGATGGTAAGGAAAATCTGCCTGCATTGTGGAGTACCTGGGTTATGAAGATCCCCCAGAGAAGGGCAGGCATGCCAACTCACTCTAGTATTCTTGTCTGGAGAATTCCATGGACAGAGGAGCCTGGTAAGCTACAATCCACAGGGTCACAAAGAGTCAGACACAACTGAGTGAATAACACACACACAATAGAGCAAGAGCATGTAGTTCAGAACCAAAGGAAAAGATACAGAGAGTAAGATCTACAACTAACAAGCTTCCAAATAGAAATCTTCAACATCCTCCCAGACGCTTTGTCTTCATGGCATCAGTTGTAGTAAGGCGGGCGCACATGGAGAACTGCCAACCCAGAAAGCTCACCTGACCTTGAGGTTTAGTTTTCTTTGGGTTGCATGGTACAGGCAGTTATTGGCCAAGTGGTTCAATTCAATCTTTAGGCCCCTCCTCTTCCCAGAGCTCAGGCTGATATCAGTTGACTCAAAGTCCCAACCCTGTAATCACTGGTTAGTTTTTCATGGGAAGTCAGTTCCTTCCCTAAGATTAACAGTGTGTGCTGCCCCACCCTGAGTCATGGCATTAGCAAAAGTCATCATATACACAACATGAATCACCCTGTTAGTATAAACTATCAGGTATGGTGCAAAGTTCCAAGACTTAGAGGTTATATCACAAGGAAATTTGGACAAAAGTCAATCAAATTCATTATTATACACTCCCTATCCTCTGCCCTCCACACACACACATACTTACATACTCATCATTTCCTATCATCCCCACTTTCAGTTTTATTATTTCTAGGAGCTATTACTATTCAACATACTATATAATTTTCTTTTATTATCATTATTGTCTATCTTTCTCATAGAGTGAAAACTGTATGAGGTAGGAATTTTTTTCTGTTTTTGTTGTTGTTGAATCTTCTGTGATTCAAACAAGTTTGACAAAGTATGCTCTCAATTGATATTTGTTTAATAAAAGAATCGGTTTAATCTCTTTTATAACCCTTTTATTCTTTAAATTAAAATACAGTTTTATTTAAGCATGACATGACAGAATATAAATCCATGAATATTTGCATATAAGAAATTATCCACTATATCCTCGTGGCCTGCTTATGATTGTGGGATATTTCAGGTGGCCTTTCAGTTTACAACTACTAATCATGACTTCATTTTACTAGATTGTAAAGCACACTAAAATATATTCACTTTAAAATAACTGTATAGCACATGGAATTCTACTCAGTGTTATGTGGTGGCCTGGATGGGTTTGAGGGAGAATGGAGTCATGAATATGTATGGCTGAGTCCATTTAATGTTCACCTGAAACTGTCAAAACATTGTTAATTGGTTACACTCCAATATAAAATAAAATGCTTAAAAAGTAACCATATATCTTAGTTAGAAATAACCATCTCTGAATTCTTAAAGGAATCTTAATTCCTGTGTTAGGATTGGTTAAGCAATAATGGAACTTGTATTTCTAAGAAAATTCGATGCATGAAGTTGAGTATTTCCTAGTCCTTCATACCAGGCACCCAGAGTCAATTAATTTCTTTTTAAAGATTCTATTCATAAAATGAATAGAAAATGTTCAAATACCAATGACAAGCAAGCAATTTTCTGTAATACAATTGTTCAAATGATAGTCTGCATTTTTGGTTAAATAAACCATATCTTAAAACTTTTCAATCCTACATTAGAGGAAAAGTGCAATGAATGATCTTTAGACTACTTTTGTATAACACAAATTAGAAAAAAAAAAAAAACCTGATAACAAAAAGATAAGAGATTTCTTTATTTCATGGAAAGTGTTGCATATTTTCACTTTGAGGTATTTATTTTATAATCAGAATATAAATTATTTTTTTTAAATAGCAAAGTCAGGATGTTTAAATTTATAATTTTGAAATTAAAATTGTATAGTGTTTCAGAGGGTTTCCCAGGTGGCTCAGTGGTAAAAACATCTGCCTGCCAATGCAGGAAATGCAAGAAATGTGGATTCAGTCCCTGGGTCAGGAGGATGGAAGAGGAAATGGCAACCCACTCCATTATTCTTGCTGGGAAAATTCCTTGGACAGAGGAGTCTGGTGTGCTATGGGTCACGGGGGTCACATAGTCAGACACAGCTGAGGGATTGAACACGCACAACACAGTGTTTCAGAATTTTGTATCTGGAAAGTATATTGGATTTTACAAAGTTTTTAACTGATACAAATAAGAAGAGAATTATGTCTCTGGTTAAGTTTTGGTCTTTGGAGGTTTTTTCAAATTATAAAATAAAATGCTTCATCACTTCAATAGCTATTTCAATCACTTTTTGAAAACAATATCTGCATCCATAGGCAAAGGAGTTTTATTATCTCTGAACTACAATTTGGAATGTCATGAGTTATTTCATAGGACAAAGTTTGTTAAATGAACACTGGCAGTGACATTAGTGCTTCGCTCTTGAACTCAAGTACAAGTCAGCTCTGTTTAAGTCACCATTTGCAGAAGCCAGAAATGAATGTGCAGTTAAAATGGTGCCATAAGTTAATTAGAATGGAATTAGAAGGGAAGTGGGCAATTTAGGAACATAAGAATTGCTGTACCGAATCAGACCAATGGTTCTCCTGGTTTAATATCCAGCCTCCAGCAGCTGTACTTGTTAGTTTCTAAAGCTCTAAAATAAAAGAAAAAGACTACATAATTCACCTAGACAAGTGTGCCATCTGTGATCTGGAGAAATTTTCTTCCTGACCTCTTTCAAATAATACCCTAAAGCAAGAGGGTTCAATCCTGTTATGATATTGGTTTAGCTTGAATAGCTCTGGTTTTTAATAATTCTTATTAAATCATCCAGTTCCTACATAAAATCAACCCGTTCATCACGAAGCTATTTATCTCTATAGCTCTTGAATCATGGTTGAATATGTCTGCATCTGTGATAAAATAGGAACTTAGGGTACTTATTCAATACAAGTTCTTGATGGCAAAATCTGCCTCAGATAACCATGCTGATGAATGCCTGCTTCTCTTTCCAAATCCTAGGGGTTCACAGGCTTTTGGCAAGAAAAATAAAGTATATGTTCCATCAGTTCTCCCAAGTTTCTGTCAATAATATATAGAAGGTATGTTATTAATGATGAAGAGTTTTGTGATGTATACTTTTAGAAAAGTTGAACTATGGGTTTGCTTAAGTTAGAAAGGGATAAATTGCATTTGCCTATCACTTTAATCTTTTTTTTTTTTTTGATACAAGTCTCAGTGACTACTTTCTAGGTTTCTTGGTTATTCTAGATACTACCGCTAGGTTAATAGTTCTAAACTATTATGTTTACAGTAAACCATCAGGCCAAGAATCCCTCAAGAATCGTAAAAGCCTACAAACTGAAGTCTAAACCATTTTACTAGATTTTCAGATCTTATTGCTATACCACTAAAATCCTAAAGCTATAATTCTAATATAATCTCCTCTTACAGTCCAAGAAAACTACTTTTTTTTTTTTCATTGCTATTTGAACTAGGAGGAACACAATTTTGTACCTATTTTAATTTTGTTCCCTTTCTTTAGTTTTCCAAAATTTTCTTTCTGGTTCAATTTCTTATTTTTTTCTCCTTACTTCAGGTAAAATTGCATTTCTTTAGCTAATTCCCTCTTCTGAAAATTTGTGTTTAGGTTACCATATATTGTTGTTTTTTTGTTTTCATGGATGTCCTTTCTTGTAATTCTCTGAGGAAAACTATGTCCCCATATGTATTTGTATTTCTAAAGCCTAGAGCAGTGTCAGACTCATAAAAGCAGCGTACAAATATGTTAAAGGTAAATCTTTAGAATCACCAGTAACTATCCAGATAGTCACTTCCAGAATGTTTATTCTTTGAGTTTCTGTTTGTGTGACCTAGGGAATAATATATTATTAAATCCTATAAGGTGTAAGTGAACCAAAAATTATTTCTGAAAAATTGAGTCAAGCACTCTTGATATAAAAACACAATTGAAGATATGGGAAGCATCAGCATGAAAACAGTAACAGGAAATGAAGCAATTCCAGGCAGAAGTAATAGCTAGGCAAAGACAGGAGGTGAAATAGAGAAAGAAATGACTAAGAAAGTATCCCCAATTACTGTTGGCTGGCCTGCAAAGACAATACCTGAAAGTAAGCTTGGAAATGTGGGTGGCATGTTCACTAATCTTTATCTGATCTCACAGGGGAATTATTGAAGGATTTTTAAGCAGTGAACAAATTTATATGAATGAAAGAACAACTTAAAAGTTAGACCTAGAGTAATACAGTTATTACATACTAAGGAGATGAGCAATCAGCCCCAAACTTAGATATATATGTTCAAGTGTAAAGAAAATATTAGTATTTTAAAATAGACTATATTTTTCTTCCTATATGTTCAGCAGAAATATGTGTAAAAAATTTCTTCTTTAAATTTTAATTCCTATGATTTTAACTAACATAGTGCTTGAAGGTACTGAAAACATTCAACTAGTTCTTTTATGCTTGATTATCAAACAAATCAACATTTTTCTGACTTTTTGTAAACTCTTATTGATTTCTGAGAACATATATATATATATATATATATATATATATATAAATCTATCAGTGACTTCAATAGAACTATAATGCCTCTCAATTTTTTTAGAAATCCGAATGGGACCCAGAACAATAGTACAAGATGGCCTGTTTTCAAAAGCAATGAACAAAAATATTTCACCTTAAATACCGAGTCACCAAAAGTAAATACCAAACTACGTGCTCAACAATGCCGATTCTGGACACTATTTTTTCCCAAAGTTTTGGAAATTACAGGTATGTGTTACTTTTGTGTTCTCTTAGTATTTGGTTAAATAATTGGTTGTGGGCTATGTAAAAGAGGAAAATGTTACACTATCCAGGGCAGGATGATAATGTTCATCTGCAACTTTACAATTAATTGATTCCACTGTGTACATTATTTAAAGAAAGTAAAACCAGACATTTTCTCTAGAAGAAAATGAAACCTAATAGTGGAACTAAGATAGGGTGATCTTGCTATTCAGCAAATTTTTGTGGAATTATTTAATACAAATTGAAAAAGTAAATATATAAAATAAACAACTTATAGAACTAAAAAATTGAACTGATATAAATCTAAATACAATTGGTAATCCAAAAGAGGCAAAAACAAATTTAGTGATAAATTGATTGATTTTTAAGGGGGAAAAAATCTCTAAAATTTATATATTTAAAAACATTATCCAAATATTTCTAAATATTCTGAGCTTGGAAATATTTAAGGCCAGAGACATACATTATATAAAATAATAAACAAGTAGTAGTTTAGTTAGCTATGCTTCAGAAAGCGATTACTTAGATTTATATAAGGAAATACTAGGAAAATGTTTCAGATCATTGTATTATTTCAAAATTCACTGGTAAGAAAATATTTAACTAAGCTTGAACAATCAACTTGAGTGATTGCATATTCTCTGAGAAAAATGACATACATATATGATTCATTGCCTGCTTTTATTGTTGTTGTTGGTGTTGTTTCTCTTTTTTTTAATGCCCATCTCTTTATAACTGATGTGGCTCCTCAAGTCTATTTGCTATATTTTTCAAATAAAAGTAATTTACTTTCAACCACTGGGCATACTGCTGACCAGTTCCTTTAGACTTTACCCTTCTGTTTCTCATAATATTCCACAATTTTCAAGCTATATTTTAGATATCACTATATAGTAGTTGTTTTAGTTTCTTCTTTAGAGAGGTTAAGAGTTAGTTTCAGGCAAATAAGGACACTTCAGAGTTGTACTTGATTGTTTGATATGCTTTTTGATTTACTTTTTGATATGCTTTTTTATTTACTTTACTCACCAAAATTATAATTAGGGACTCCACCTGTTTGGGAAACATTACTTATAGACCAGTGCTCTGTGTACTCCCAAATGTTCTGTGACACAATATACAGCAGAGATGGGCTTCTGCATCCCTTGGCAGAGCTACAGTGCTGCCCTTGTGTCCTCTGGGTGTGAATAGCAATGAGGTAACATGAATAATCTGCCAGGAGACTAGAAGAGGTAGCATTTAACATGTAACAGACTATATATTCTCAATCTTTACTTAAAATATCAGTATTTTGAAATGTCCAGTTCAGTTCAGCTCAGTTCAGTTGCTCAGTCATGTCCAACTCTTTGCGACCCCATGAACCGCAGCACACCAGGCCTCCTTGTCCATCACCAACTCCCGGAGTCCACACAAACCCATGTCCATAGAGTCAGTGATGTCATCCAACCATCTCATCCCCTGTCGTCCCCTTCTCCTCCTGCCCTCAATCCCTCCCAGCATCAGGGTCTTTTCAAATGAGTCAGCTCTCCACATCAGGCGGCCAAAGTATTGGAGTTTCAGCTTCAGCATCAGTCCTTCCAATGAACACCGAGGACTGATCTCCTTTAGGATGGACTGGTTGGATCTCCTTGCTGTCCAAGGGACTCTCAAGAGTCTTCTCCAACACCACAGTTCAAAAGCATCAATTCTTCTGTGCTCAGCTTTCTTTATAGTCCAACTCTCACATCCATACATGACTACTGGAAAAACCATAGCCTTGACTAGACAGACCTTTGTTAGTAAAGTAATGTTTCTGCTTTTTAATATGCTGACTAGGTTGGTCATAACTTTCCTTTCAAGGGGTAAGCATCTTTTAATTTCATGGCTGCAGTCACCATCTGCAGTGATTTTGGAGCCCCCAAAAATAAAGTCAGCCACAGTTTCCACTGTTTCCCCATCTATTTCCCATGAATTGATGGGACCAGATGCCATGATCTTAGTTTTCTGAATGTTGAGGTTTAAGCCAACTTTTTCATTCTCTTCTTTCACTTTCATCAAGAGGCTCTTTAGTTCAAGAAAATTAGAGATACCAAGGGAACATTTCATGCAAAGATGGGCTCAATAAAGGACAGAAATGGTATGGACCTAACAGAAGCAAAAGATATTAAGAAGAGGTGGCAAGAATACACAGAACTATACAAAAAAGATCTTTACAACCCAGACAACCCAGATAGTCATGAAGGTGTGATCACTCCCACTCACCTAGAGCCAGACATCCTGGAATATGAAGTCAGGTAGGCCTTAGGAAGCATCACTATGAACAAAGCTAGTGGAGGTGATAGAATTCCAGTTGAGCTATATCAAATTCTAAAAGATGATGCTGTGAAAGTGCTGCACTCAATATGTCAGCAAATTGGAAAACTCAGCTGTGGCCACATGACTGGAAAAGGTCAGTTTTCATTCCTATCCCAAAGAATGGTAATGCCAAAGAATGCTCAAACTACCACACAATTGCACTCATCTCACACACTAGTAAAGTAATGCTCAAAATTCTCCAAGCCAGGCTTCAGCAATGTGTGAACCGTGAACTTCCGTTCAAGCTGGTTTTAGAAATGGCAGAGGAACCAAAGATCAAATTTCCAACATCTGTTGGATCATCAAAGAAGCAAGAGAGTTTCAGAAAATCATCTATTTCTGCTTTATTGACTATGCCATAGCCTTTGACTGTGTGGATCACAATAAACTGTGGAAAATTCTGAAAGAGATGCGAATACCACACCATCTGACCTGCCTCTTGAGAAAACTTGTATACAAGTCAGGAAGCAACAGTTAGAACTGGGCATGGAAGAACAGACTGGTTCCAAATAAGGAAAGGAGTATGTCAAGGCTGTATATTGTCACCTTGCTTATTTAACTTATATGCAGAGTACATCATGAGAAATGCTGGGCCGGAGGAAGCACAAGCTGGAGTCAAGATTGCCAGGAGAAATATCAATAACCTCAGATTTTGAAATGGGAAGGTCATAATTTGAAGCAAAATAATCTGAGAGTATGGGAAATTTTTAAATGACTAATTTATTATAAAATCAACTTAGTCCTTCTGGTTCAAGCATATGTGGTCTATTGCAGTGTGTGTGTGTGCATGCTAAGTTGTCTCAGTTGTATCCAACTCTATGCAACCCTATGGACTGTAGATTGCCAAGCTCCTCTGTCCATGGGATTCTCCAGGCAAGAATACTGGAGTGGGTTGCCATGTCCTTCTCCAGGGGATCTTCCCAACATACGTATGAGATCTGTGTCTCTTAAATCTCCAGCATCCATTGGCTGGTGGGCTTTTTACCACTAGCACCACCTGGGAAGCCCCTACTGTAGTGTATTTGTGGATAAAATAAAATTACAATATCAACACTTTTTGAAGATGTACTTCAAAATCTCTGTCTCTAAATATCCAACTTCTATAAAGCAGTTGAATAAACCAACTCCTATATTTTTGGCTAGATGCTGCTCTATCCTACCCAGGGCTGGTCAACTTCCTAATGTAAAGAGCACTGTGCTGTATGGAAACACATATCTCACTCTGGGATACTCCCAATGTATCTTGAAAACATATTTTATATTTATCACTATTTTTTCAGATAATTACCCCAAAGTAGTTTTATGAAATATATTTAATAAATTTTAAAGTAAATGTATGACATAATTGTTATAATATCAACAATGTATTCATTAGTAATAATGATATTTACTTAAATAAACAATTAGTTTGAAATGGCATGCCTTTAGGTTTTCTAAAAAATAATGTAGAGGGATTTAAATATTAAGAAGATATGTTATTAATATACCTTATATTTATCGAGTCATAAAACTTTAAACATTTTGCTCTTCAATATTCTGAAAATTTGGTTCAGATGACCTGGGCTGAAAATTTTATGGAAATACTCCTTTTGGTTTTTTAAAAGCAAGGTAAATTCATAAGCAAAGGAAAATTTCAAAAAAAAAATACTGAACAGGACTTCTTAAAAGGAGAAATGTTTACTTCACTCACAATGGAAGTACAATAAGCATAAGTCCTTCTGAGCAGTTATTTACATCTGAGTAGTAAATAGGCTCAAAAGATTTGTTTAACACACAAATTCTAACTCTTAACTTCAGACTATATTTCAGCACACACCTGTGCTCTTATTGCAAGCACCTGCAAGAAATAAAATACACTATTTGTTTCAACTGTTAACAAATTCATATTTTTTGCTAAGAATATAACTACAATATTTCATAATCATAAGAAATGGACCCATTCAATGTTGATGAAATATCAATATTTTTCATTAAAATTGAGGAAGTAAATTCATATAAAGGGAAAAAATTGACCTACACATCTCAGATTAAAAAAAAAAAATCAGATCCAATTGTTCCTCCTTTGGCCTTTGAATAAATCATGAAATACTGCTTGATACAACTAAAGAAGACTAATGTAAATTTAAGAGCTGACATATTATTCTGACTGGTCACTTTGGAATCTCATATTCTGCTATTTGCTAATTAGGCAGCAAGAATGCAAACAAAAATGGTATAGTGAAAAGGTAATTTGAAGGAAAAATATCAAGCAGTTTTTCATACTTGACTTTTCCATGCGTTGTTAAAAGCAAAACAAAGCAAACAAATAAACAAAAGACTGAGTTATTTGGATCAGAGTAACTGATTTATTTATTTCACTGTAAAAGCATCCGAAGTCTTCACAAAGCCCAGCCTGAGTTATCATGAAAGTGAAAGTTTCTCAGGGTGTCTGACTCTTAGCGACTCCGTGGACTATACAATCCACATGGAACTCTCCAGGCCAGAATAGCCTTTCCAACCCACGGATCGAACCCAGGTCCCCCACTGCAGACAGATTCTTTACCAGCTGAGCCACGAGGGATGTCCAAAAATACTGGAGTGGGTAACCTATCACTTCTCCAGCAGATCTTCCTGACAAGTTTATTGTGGTTCACGCCATCTCATCACAC